CCTGCACCCCAGCGCCCCCTGCTGACCTCCCGCCTGCTCCCTGCTGAGCCCCCGCCTGCTCCCTGCAGCACTTAGTCTTTTAGAGTCCCCCCTTCCCCCTCCATCACATGCTCCACAGTCCCGTTCTCGGCCACGCCCTGCTGCTGTCTCAGTTCTTTCCTCCTCCTCTCCTCATCCTCCATGTCCAGGTCCACGCGCTCCTCCTTGCTGTGACGCAGGCTGAACACCAGCCGGTGTAGCTGGGCAGTGGGGGGAGGGGATCATAGGGTGAGAACTCTGCACTGAGACACTTGGGTCCCATCCCCCATCCTGCTCTCTCCCCTAGGGGTGAATGCCCTGCAGAGCTGTCCCGGACACCTGGGTCCCTTTTCCCCTCTGTCTCTTCCCCTAGGGGTGTGTGCCCTGCGCTCCAGTCCCAGACACTTCCCCACCCTGGTCTCTCCCAGCAGGGTGAGCGCCCTGTGCAGCTGTGCTGGATGCCTGGGTCCCATCCCTCCCTCCAGCCTCCCATGGGTTGCTCACGTGCTTCTCGGGGATGGGCGGGGTGCAGAGTGAGATCCCCAGCACCAGGGTGACGCTGGCGAGGAAGAGGATGATGGCGAAGTACAGGTAGTGCACCCCGCAGATGAGGCGGGGGCAGGCGCTGGGGAAGATGCAGCTGCCGGTGCCATAGGCAAATTCAGGCAGCATACGGGCCAGGCCCATCAGCAGACCCCCGACCAGTCCCCAGAATGCACCCTGTGTGGAGAAAGAGGGGGATCACAGGTACACCTAGGCCCTTGCTCCCTCCATGCCCCCCATCCTCCCATGCCTGGGTCCCCGGCTCCCTTCCACGCTCTGCTGCCCGGGTGCCTGACGCTGGCAGATCATGCCAAGGCCCCTATTGGACAGTGACCTAGGCACATCTGGGTCACTGCTCCCTGGCCACCCAGCTCTGAAGGCAGCGCAGAAGTAAGGGTGCCAATACCACGACCCTGCCAGAATGTCCTTGTGACTTCTCTGCAGCTCCCGCAGTTTGAGAAACTCTGCTCTCCCCATGAAATTGGTACAGCACAGGGCAGAAGCCCACAGAAGACCAGAGTTCATGGTCCCTGCTGCGTTTTGCATGGCTGTGAATTTGGGAGGACCCCGTTATGAGAGGTGCTGCTGCCACCCACTCATTTGAGTGTGTAGGGGTAATCTGCTTTGCCCTTGTAACTAACTCTCTTGTTTCATCCTAATCTGCAGCTAGTGCGTGACAGGCTTCTCTGTGTGGCTTGGCTTTGGTGTGAGCGCGGCGGGGTAATGGCCCTGGTGGGCGTGACTGGTCCCTTGAGACAGGGAGTAACCTGAATGTTGTGTTTGGGTGTGAGTCTGCCCTGACATTAGTGCTTACACACATGAGCCGTTCTGGACAGTGACACCTTTCCACACTGCACCCCCTCCCCCGCTCCTCCTCCCCTTTCTTTCCATTGCCGGACACGTGGGTCCCTCATTCCACCAGCCTCTCCTTGCCCTCCCCGGACACCTGGGTCCCTCATTCCACCTGGACTCAGCAGGACTCCCCACTGAAAAGAAAGAGTGACAGAGTCACTCATTTAAACTGGGAGTTTCCAGACCCACATCAGGAGAGTTAATGGCTTACTGAACCCCTCCCGGACACCTGGGTCCCTCATTCCACCAGCCCCTCCTCGCCCTCCCCGGACACATAGGTCCCCTGGCACTCACAGGCTCATTGACCCTCTTGACGAAGACGGCGAGGAAGAAGACAGCAGCGATGGGTGGTGCCAGGTAGCTGGCGATGGCCTGGATGTAATCAAAGAGCTGCCCGCTCTGCGCCGCCTGCACCACTGGGATCCATGCAATGCTGACGGCCACGATGCACAGAATCCACACCCTGCCCAGAGACCACGGTGAGAGGCAGGGACACGGCTGGGCCCACAGCAGCCTTAGGGACATCACACTCCCTGCAGCACAGTGCCCTTAGTGCGTCCTCACCTGCCCACAATCAGCAGCTCCTTGGTCCGGGCCTGGGGCCGCAGGCGGTTGTAGATGTCCATGGTGAACAAGGTGCTGCTGCTATTGAAGATGGAGGCCAAGGAGCTCATCAGGGCAGCCAACATCACGGCCAGCATCAACCCCCCCAGCCCCCCCTGCTCCCTGCAGCACAGCACCCCCTGCTGAGCCCCCGGCCTGCTCCCTGCAGCACAGTGCCCCCTGCTGAGCCCCCCCTGCTCCCTGCAGCACAGCACCCCCTGCTGAGCCCCCGGCCTGCTCCCTGCAGCACAGTGCCCCCTGCTGAGCCCCCCCTGCTCCCTGCAGCACAGCACCCCCTGCTGAGCCCCCGGCCTGCTCCCTGCAGCACAGTGCCCCCTGCTGAGCCCCCCCTGCTCCCTGCAGCACAGCACCCCCTGCTGAGCCCCCGGCCTGCTCCCTGCAGCACAGTGCCCCCTGCTGAGCCCCCCCTGCTCCCTGCAGCACAGCACCCCCTGCTGAGCCCCCGGCCTGCTCCCTGCAGCACAGTGCCCCCTGCTGAGCCCCCCCTGCTCCCTGCAGCACAGCACCCCCTGCTGAGCCCCCGGCCTGCTCCCTGCAGCACAGTGCCCCCTGCTGAGCCCCCCCTGCTCCCTGCAGCACAGCACCCCCTGCTGAGCCCCCGGCCTGCTCCCTGCAGCACAGTGCCCCCTAGCACTGCACTAGCACATTGGATGCCAGCGCCCACCGTTTACCGGCAGGCATGAGCTCCACCACCAGCTTGGGGTAGGCGATGTTGGAGCAGCCAACTTCAGTTCCACAGATTCGCTTGCATTCCTCTGGCACCACACATGCCACCTCATCTGCAGAGAAAATGGGGTCATCAAGGGGGAGCAGGGCCGGAGGCAGGGGCCTGGGGTCTCATCAGCAGGGAGCAGCAGAGCCCAGCTGTCCGGTCCCCTGGTGAGGCTGGGGGGCACTGTACCTGCATAGAGGATGCGGCTGATCATGCCGGGCATCACCATGAGGAACATTGGCAGCAGCTTCAGGTACCCGCAGAGGATGCAGCCGGCTTTGACGTGTGTCAGGCTCTTGCCTGCCAGGCAACGCTGCACAATCACCTGTGAGCAGGGAATGCCCCAGTGAAAGGCCCCTATGCCCTGAGCCAGCCACGGGGAGATGGCACCCGCAGAGGGAAATGGCCCCAGACCCTATCCCCCATACACCTGAGCCTGCTAATCCCCCCGACTGGAGCCGGATCCCTAGAAGAGGAAAAGCCTCAGGTTCCATCCTCTAAGCCCCGAGCCAACCAGTCCCCTGCCCTGGGGCTGAATTGGGGCTGGCACCCCCAGAGGGGAAGGCCCCAGGCCCCACTCCCTACTCCATACCTGGTCGCTGCACCAGTACCAGGTGGAGATGATGGTGAGGCCGAAGATGAGCGCTGGCCAGGGGAGGTCTCCCGTCAGGGGGTCGCGGAAGAGGTGGAAGGCATCAGGGCGGGGCTGGTAGCAGTTGGCGGAGATGTTGTACTGGGCCGGGGCGAGGGAGAGGGTCTTGTTGGGAAGGGCCGTCGTGTACTTGTTATAGAGGCCCTGGTAGCCTCCCACCTCGTAGAACGCTGCAAAGCAACCAGCAGGGACCAGAGGTGACAAGTGCCTCACATCTGGGAGGGGCCGGGGCTGGAGACCCTGCGAGCACCCCCCTCCCCAATAGCCAGCGCTCCTGCCTCCTCCTTACAGCGCCCCCTGCTGCGGCTGGAGTCCCCAGTGCCCCCTAGAGCCAGCTCCCCACCTGCTCCTTTTAGCACCCCCTGCTGGCATGGGAGTCCCTGGGAACCTGTCTCCTACAGCACCCCCTGTAGGTGTTGGAGTCACTAGAAAAACTACCCATTATAGCACCCCCTGCTGGCTCTGAAGTCACAGGTGTCCCTCCATAGAGCCAGCACCCCACCTTGCGCCCTTCAGCGCCCCCTGCAGGGGCTGCAGTAGCTCCTGCCCACAGCCAGCTCCCCCCATCCTGCCCCTTACAGTGCCACCTGCTGGAGTCACTGGGAACCTGCTCCCTACAGCACCCCCTGCAGGGGCTTGAGTCCCCGGGAGCACCCACCCCTGACAGCAGGTACCACCCACCCCACAGTGCCCCTATTGGGACTGGAGTCCCTGGGATCCCTTCCCCCTTCCCTGCTCCCTACAGCACCCCCTGCTGGGACTAGAGGCCCCAGACACTTCCTTTCAGCTGCAGTCCCTGCCCCTGCCCCTGCCCCTGCCCAAAGGGGGGGGGTCTCACTCACCAAAGCCCATGAGGATGAAGGCTCCGCCAATGATGACGAAGGTTTGCACGGTATCGGTGTACATCAGGGCTGCCAGCCCCCCTGGGACAGCAAGAAGGGGTGGGGGGACGCCCCTAGACCCCCATCTCCTGGGCCCCCAGCCCAGACACAGCCCCGTTACCTGTCACCGTGTAGATGGTGGTAATTATGAGCAGGGCAATGACAGCCACGTAGATATCCCAGCCCAGAGCCTGCTGGATAAAAACAGCCCCCGAGAACATGTCCACCTACAGGGGGCGGTAGAGGGTGGGCGGGGTCAGCACCAGGCTGAGGTCCACAGCACCCCCTGCTGGGAGAAGCTGGGAGCACTGCCCACAGCCCGGCTGCCTGCCCCACTCCCCCCAGCCCGCCCCAGCTGGGAGGAGGGTTAACGACCTACTGAGATTTTAGTGAAGATGTAGAGAAAGAGGGAGAGGACGGAGAGATAGATCCGGATTCGCCGCCCCCCGAATCGCTTCTTCAGGTACTGGGGCATCGTGATCACCTGTAGGGGAAGGCAGAACACACTGGAGCCCAGGTGACCTGGTTCCCAGCCCCTCCCCCCCACTTCAACCCATTAGAGCCCTTTGCCCCCCACTGCCCCCAAGCCAGGGACAGAACCCAGGCGTCCAGCTCCCTGCCCCACCCTGGCCGGCAGGAGGCTCACCCCAGCAGTGAGGTAGACAGGGACGAAGAGCCATCCGAGGAGGAGGACCACGAAGAGAGCCTGGAGGGGAGACCGGAGAGGGTCAGGGAGGAGTAGCCCCACAGAGGGGGAGGGCTAGGGAGGGGGTTGGGGGCACAGGGAGCTGCTTACGTTCCACTCGAAGCCGGCCACAGCCAGGCCGGTGGG